AACTAAACCAGAAAACCAAGAGACGTATAAAGAAAGAACGAACAGAGCCTCTTGGCCTAATTATATCTGAGGAGGACAAGCCACCCCCCCTCCTCCTGTGTAGATAAGGGGGGTGGGGTTGGGGGGGGCTCTAGAGCCGCAGGGCAGATCTTCAGAAACACTAATCTGTTCTGACTGTTCTCCGCAGCTCCACCGTCTAACAGAGAGACGTTCAGAGTCACTGTGCAGCGCTCACATAACCCCCTGCCTACCCCCTCACTATCTAACCCCCCACTGCACCCTGCCTGCCGTGCCTACACGCGTCCGCCTGTGAGGAGGGGGTGTTACCCAGGGGGAGGGCTGGAGTACTGCCCCGGGGCAAGGAAGAAAAAAACATCACCCCGAGGTACCAAAACACTCTCCCTCTGCAGAATCAATTTTATACTGAGACACATTTAAACTTTTCAAAAAACTGTTTATACCGCTACACATCTAAACCTTTCAAACTACTTTATAGTGTTTCACATTTGTATCTTTAAAAACAGTTTTACACTGTTACAGTGGGACGTACTGGAGGGTGTAACCTCTGAGCACCTCTTAGGAACAGGGATACCTGTTTATGGCTACCAACTGTACCGCTGTCCACGTCAGGATGCTGACAAGAGATTGCTGCCACATAGACCTTCAGGGTAGGGGGAGATCGTCCCTTGTCTAGTAAGTCCTACAAGAATTTCAATATAGCAGACAGTGGACAGGGTACTGGATCCAGATCTCTGTGTTGACATAAGCCGTCGAAAAGCATTCACAATACAAGAGGACGGGGCCTGTGCATTCAAGATAGCATTCCTGACGACAAGGCTCCCATTGTCCAACCAAAGGGCAGACCCCCAGCGGTAGGCGACTGAGTTGGGTTGCAGTATCCAAGGCCTCCCCTAGTGGGGAAGCATATTGGCAAGCTGTAACAGAGCCTGTGCAGCAGAGGAAACCCAGTCCTGACCAGAACCGGGCCACCAGGAGCAGCCTGTGATCCTCTTGAAGGACTCTCAGGAGTGTTGGAAATATGAGGGACAACCGGGGAAATACATAGAGGAGGACATTCAGCCCATCGTGGGCCAGGGCATCTTGGTCCACAGGACTTGAACTGTCTGCCAGGTAGAACCTCAGATGGCAGTGGGTCAACTCCCTGGAGGTGAAGGGATCCACCTCTGCCCCTCTGAAGTGGTCCCACATGTCTTGCGCTACCTCTAGGTGGAGTCTCCATTCCCCAGGTAGAGGCTTCTGACGAGATCAGGAATCTGCAGGTTCTTTCTCCCTGGTATATAGACAGCTCTTAAGCTGGCTAAACGAGGGGCTGCCAAGGTCAGTAGACGCTGCATTGCCTGCAACAGTCTCACAGACTTGGTCCTTGGTTAATATGAAACTCTGCGGAGGTGATGTCCAACCACACTAAAACGTGCTTGCCCTTCAGATATGGGAGGAAATGCTGAAGGGACAGGTATATTACCTCTAGCTCCAGAACATTTATGTGGTCTTTGCAGAGGCTTGCCGACAACCTCCCCTTAGCGATTCTCTGTCTCTGTGTCTCAGTGTTATCTCAGAGTGTTGCTTCTGTTTAATACAAAATGCTGACATCATTTCTTTAGATGTCAAATGTAATAAATATGTGTCACAGATGTTGTATTTTTTCCTGTTTTTATGTATCTATGTGTCTCAGAGTGTAATCTAAGTCAGATCTGAGTCAGGAAATGTTGCGTCTATAAGACAGCTAGCTGAACTGATTGCAGCTCTCTCGGCTGCATCAGTGATGTAGAACCAACTTGGCCCATCTAATGACCTCAGCGGGGCTCTAATCCATCACAGTGACACCTCCAGGCCCCTTATTACCCACCATGCACAGCTCTAACAGGAGTGTGGATGTTTCTGTGTGCGGAGGCGCTGATGAGAGGAGATGCAGATGGTCTAACTGTTGTTTATCTGTTTCTGTCTCTTTTTGTCTCAACTTTAGAAGATTACCAATGTGTCTGTCAGTGTGGATCTGTTTAATGTTGGTAAGTATTGATCTGTTTGTCTGGGTGAATACTCGATTCTGATTGGCTGAAGGGTGTCATGTGACTATACGCTTAATGATTGATGATGTGGTTGTCGATTACCTTTTGATACATGGACACCTATGGAAGTAGTTCCAATTAAACAGCCTGTTCACTGTTCCAAATGAATGCGCTGCAGACGGTGTCTAAGATGAGTAACCATAGCAACATAACCCTAACCCTTAGCCTATATCTTGTCTGGCCTATAAAACTTGCTGGCAATGGCATCAGCTGGCTGCAAACTCCGCGACTTTAGAAATAATTAAATGAAAAACAATGTGAATATCTTACCCAAGAGTATGGTCCTTCTGTGCACCACAAGACGCAGTTGTAACACTGCAAGAAGGAGCCTAAACTCAGGGCTGTAATGTTAGTACTAAACTACAGTCACTTTAGTTCAACTGTTAAACTAAAAGTGGCCGCTGGCTAAACTGTCTGATGCTCAGTGATGATCTCATTAAAAGGTGAATGAGCCCTAAGTTGGACTTGCAAAAGGTTTGTAATGATAGAGTTTATGCATGTTTACTAGCCACTACAGCCCTTTCTCATTGTCCACCTGAGCTGACTGTTAACACTTCAGGTTTCGCCCAATAGTACAGAGTACTGATCGTCATTTTCTTCATGACCTTTTTCTTGATTTGCAGACAATGACATGGCTAGCTGACCAGCTAGACTTGTTGTTAAACAAACTGGCTGATAACATGTACTGTTTGTCCACCGATATGTCAGAACATAGAACATTCTAGGATTGTTATGATTGTTTCAGCTATTAGTCAAACCCTTGGGTGTTGTCAGGGTAACGAGTTGTTGTTTATTAAAAACGTCATATTTGGTCATAAAAGTCATGAAAATATGGATGGATGGTTTTATAATTTTTTCTCTGGCAGGTGACCATTGTGTTAGCGACATAATGAGGTTTGATGTGTCCATTATCAGGAAACAATGGACGACGTGGCGGCCTGAACCGGTTTAGGCCTGCACTTCTTCACATGTACACGATCTCTTACTTAATCAATCAGTCGATCAATCAGTCACATAACCAAATGTTGAGTAGATTTTCCTACATCAGTCTCTTCTTAAATATGAAGGAGTTTTTTTCTCACCCATGTCACTGCAGTTGTCCCCGCTCTGAGAGACGTGTCCCCCGCTGGACGGCCCTGGGGTCCCTATGGATAGCGTGGAGTGGGTATCGTCCAGGTCTCTCCAGGACGCAGGATTCTGAAGGAAAAGACAGGAGGTCCAGAGAAGATCAAAAGGGGGTCCACAGGAGAGGAAAAGTATTGAGGAAGGAGAGATAAAGTAGGTTAGAAGTTCCCCCCTTCCACACACACAGAGGAAATGCTTAGCCTAGCATTAGCTACGTTACCATTGTGTCCATCACAGAATACAGAGCTCAGAGGGTTCAGAGAGTTGCAGGATGTGGACCTCCAGAATCCAGCTCAAAGACTGATTAGGCTCAGACTGAGTCCTGTATTTATATGTAGGCCCGTCCCCTCGCTCCTGTGCTCCCCCCCCCCCAAAGTGCCCCCCCCCACTCAGAGGACATAATCTAAGAGCAAACAGCCTCTTCAGCCTCTCTGTGCGTCAGCTGTTTGCCGGATGGTTCTCTGATGAAGAGTCCACAGATGACGAGGAGACGCTAGGAAACAAAGACGCAGCGTGAACGACACTCTCTCAAAGAGCTCACTCTTTATTCTGTGTGTGTGTGTGTGTGTGTGTGTGTGTGTGTGGGTTCATCAAACTAACACACACAATCTGACTGTTAAACAACTAACAGCTGTGTGTGTGTGTTTCTGTGTGTGTGTGTGTGTGTGTGTGTGTGTGTGTGTGTGCGTGTGACACACCTGAACGATATGGGGTTCAGAATCAGAAGACACATGTGACTTTGTCAAAGTAATAATGACGGTTAAACATAATAACACACACATTAAAGAGTGTGTGTCAAACATGTGGTCAACCCCCCACGTCCCCCCTTGTTAACCCTGTTTACTGAATCCTTGAAAAATCGCAGCAAACACAGCTGTACTATCATCATCAGCATCTTCATCGTTGTTGGCGGCTCGTCGTCTCTTCACAGCAAAGAATAATGTTTCAGATTGAAACATTAAATTAACTTATTAAATATAAGTTAATTATTTCAGATCAACGTGTATCATTCTCATGAGGGGTTAAAGTTTAACTTTAAAATATTATTTTGATGAAAATGACATTTAAAAAAATACATTAAGTAAAATACAATTATTCATTGTTTCAATGTGTAGTGAAGCATAACAACACCTGAAGATCTGACTGTAGTATAAACACACCTGAAGATCTGACTGTAGTGTGAACACACCTGAAGATCTGACTGTAGTATAAACACACCTGAAGATCTGACTGTAGTATAAACACACCTGAAGATCTGACTGTAGTATAAACACACCTGAAGATCTGACTGTAGTGTGAACACACCTGAAGATCTGACTGTAGTGTGAACACATCTGAAGATCTGACTGTAGTGTGAACACACCTGAAGATCTGACTGTAGTGTGAACACACCTGAAGATCTGACTGTAGTGTGAACACACCTGAAGATCTGACTGTAGTATAAACACACCTGAAGATCTGACTGTAGTGTGAACACACCTGAAGATCTGACTTTAGTGTGAACACACCTGAAGATCTGACTGTAGTATAAACACACCTGAAGATCTGACTGTAGTGTGAACACACCTGAAGATCTGACTTTAGTGTGAACACACCTGAAGATCTGACTGTAGTGTGAACACATCTGAAGATCTGACTGTAGTGTGAACACACCTGAAGATCTGACTGTAGTGTGAACACACCTGAAGATCTGACTGTAGTGTGAACACACCTGAAGATCTGACTGTAGTATAAACACACCTGAAGATCTGACTGTAGTGTGAACACACCTGAAGATCTGACTTTAGTGTGAACACACCTGAAGATCTGACTGTAGTATAAACACACCTGAAGATCTGACTGTAGTGTGAACACACCTGAAGATCTGACTTTAGTGTGAACACACCTGAAGATCTGACTGTAGTGTGAACACACCTGTTATAAACTAATCCTAACCAAGTGACCTACAGGATGATAAGTGGCGTGTTGCTATGACGACCTGGGTCAGAATACAACTCAATGTCCGTGCACACTCACAAGAAAAAAAAAGGTAAAATAATAATGATCTGTCACTTCCTGTCAGATTTTCAAAGTAAAGATAAACACATGATGATGTCACTCAAATTGTGTTTAAAAGTTCCAGAGAAAATCTCACATAAACAACATTTATATTATAATATGTTCATAAAATATATGATATATGTTATGATTTAAAATATATGATTTAAAATAGTAATATAATAATATATTACACACAATTGAATCTTTGCTTTCAGGATAAAAAATTAAAAAAGAAGTTACAACATGAACTCCAACCCCTTCATATTTTTTCTCCTAACAGTGGCGGTTCTAGACCACTTTCTAGACCCAGGGGGCCAAACTGGGGCCAGTTGTTTTGTCAGAGGGGAACATTAAACCCAGGTGGAAAATAGACAAAGATGATTGCTTTAAAAAAAAAAATACTATGCCAAATAATAGCGCACATCATTACATACCACAACCTAAAATACCATGATTTATATTTGTTTCAGTAATAGTATTTAATACTAGATTGTGAGTCAAATACTGTGTATGTATTATTAGGGGGACTCTTCCTTTTGGAGGGGTGGCCACAGGGGGGGACCAAGCTTAGTGTTACAGGGGCACTGGACCCTGTTGGCCCCTGCCAAGAACCGCCCATGTATCCTAGGATTTCCCCCTTCTGCATCAAATGCAGGAAACAGGTGCTTACATGCATTGCTTGTGGAGCTGCCCTCTGACTCTCACAGGAAATTAACTTAACTTTGGTAAGAAAATACAATATATCCGGGTTTGTTTCTGTTAAATCTTTCAGATGAGAGGCCTCCTCTGATAAGTGTCCAGCAAAAACGTCTGAACAAGCTCATTCTATTACCAAGAGATGCATTTTATGTCAGTGGATTAAGTCCAGATCTCCATCTATCTGTCAGGGGTAGGGGACATTTTTAAAGTTTAGCCAATGGAGCACTAAAGCTCAGTGTTGAAGGAGAATGAGAGTTTCCTTCATAAGCTATGGGTACCATCCTAAATCACCTGCAATATGGCACAGCAGGCCGAGTATGCAGGAGGCGCTGCAGTGTTGACCCCTCCTGTACCTCTGTGTATACTTCATGCTCTCTGTTTTTTGTTGTATTTTAAAGCCCTTCCTCTGACTCCCTGATCCGTCATATCTGAACTCTGTGATAAAGAAATGTATGATACAGTGCAGTCGTTCAAAATATGTTGTTGTTGTTTGAATGTCTTTAAATCCCATGTGGTGTGTCGTTGGCTCAAATAGTCTTAAAATGTTATTTAAATGTATTATATTTATTATATTTATTATTTTATAATATTAAAAGTGTTATTATTGTGTTCTTCACTATAGTGAATAGTTTCAGCTGATAACATATCTACACTCCTGCACTTTAACATATATGTCTTTGATTGCACAGCCACGAATTTGCACAGCTCTGGAGAACCCTCTATATTGTTATTGCACATTTACCACTGTCATCACTGTTTTTGTAAACTTACATCTCTTACCTCCAGCAAGTATTTTTACATTCAGTTGCCAAGCCTGAATAAATGTTGTATTTAATTTTTAATTTTTTAAACCAGTAAGAATGTTAAGTTAAATCCTTGATGTATAAATCTCTTCTTATATTTTATATCTTAAGTGCTTATTTACTTTGTCTCTATTTTTATATTGTTTTATTTGCTCTGATAACCTGCTGCTGTAACACCACAATTTCCCAGTTTGGGATCAATAAAGTCATTCTATTCTAATCTTTTGTTTTTTTCCCTCTGTTTGACGTCACTGCGGCATCATCCAAACCTGAACCTAACGAGTCTAACGCTGAGTGCACGAGCTCTGTGATAAAATAAAAATAAGTCTCGTTATCAATAGATAACGTAATCAATCAGGTGACTCACGTGGTCGGCCAGGTGTGTGGAGGACCCGGACAAGTCGTCAAAGTCCGACTTGCAGCCGTCACGATCGTCGATGACCAGGTCGATGGGCATCTTCCCCTTCAGACAGCTGATGTACCTGTGACAGAAGTTATCACACAGCTCGTGCACCTGCACGCGGACACAGAGTTAAACACGGAGCCATTCATTCATTGACTTATATTTTAATATCATGTAGCCTAAGAATCTCAGAGTCACCTTCTCCAGCTCCAGCAGGTGGAAGCGGAGCACCTGGATGGACTGAATCATCTGAGACCACAAACACGGTTCAATCAGGTCACGTGACCGAGTTTTCATTCAAACAATATTCATCATTTTATTTTGATCAGAATTTATAACCCGATGCAAATAAACAAACATTTATAAAATAACAGAAATAATCTAAAATAAATACAATTCATATATTTAAAAATAAAGTGTGTCAATAATGAATTAATCTAACATTAATGATGAGTGTTAATACAGTTAAATATAAACATTAAGTGTGACGAGGTGAGTCCGGGTCGGTGGAGATAAAATGTTTATCGAACGTTAATCATGTGATATAAATACTACAAAATAATTAACCTAACATAATAAATGTAATATAATGAATGTAATGAAATATAAAGTGTGTCACCAGGTTGTCGAGGTCCGGGTCGGAGGAGGAGATCAGAGGTTTCTCCGCGCGGATCTGAAAACAACATTTAAAGAATCAGAACGTGCACATTAAATATCAACAATAAACACAATGAACAAAGACTAATATGTTTAAGACTGTAGGAGGACTGAGTGATGATGGTAAAATACGTCATGTGAGGTAGAGTAATGGTTTAATCATCACTCTGACGTCATCATTAACTCATATTTGTAATTCTTACTGTTAAGTGTAAATGTGGATGATGCGCTACCTGTTTGGCGAACACGGCGATGTCCTCGTTGAAGGAGTCCGAGGAGGTGACGTCACCTCCCGCCACACCTGGCTCTCTGGGCGTGCAGGTCGCGAGCTCACACTTCTCAAAGACCAGCGCGAGGAGCGGAAACAGGGGGTGCCTGAAACACCGCAGAGACCAGGTCATAGGAGGACGGACAGGACATGGTCCGGGTCAGACCGGCTCCTGGTATAAGTCAGACCGGGACAGACCAGGTCCGCGGCCTGCGCTCCCTCATAAAAACTGAAACTCTGATTTTTCTCATGTTTTATGTTTTTTTTTAAATTCTAAACTTAATATGAAAATAACTCAAGCTTTAAATAATAAATAATACAATGATTAAATGTAATATTAAAATATAAAATTATTGAATTAAAATATAAAATTATTGAATTAAAATATAAAAATACAATAGGCCTAAACTATCCTGTTTAATAAAAATGTGATGAATGTAAAATAAAAACTTGATGAGCCTCAGAGTTAAAAACATTTATTAAACATTAAAAATACAAAGTGACTTAAATCACTGTTTTTATAAATGTATTTTATTTGTTTTTACTTCATATGAAATTACGACGTTAAATGTTTTTTTTACTCAGAATATAAAATATTGTATTTTGTTGATTCAGTCAAATTATTAAACATTTATTTAATTATTAAACATAAAAAAACATAATAAAACCCACCCGTACACCTGGTCCTTGTCCCTCCTCAGGGCCTCGTTCATCGACCCCCCCACGCTGCCCGGCAGGATGTTGTGCGGCGCATGCGCTCCGTAGTGCTGTGGGGGGTGGGGGGGCGGCCCGTGGTTCAGGTGGTGGACCTGCGGTAGCGGCCGGGGCGCGTGAGGGTCTCCGTAGACCCCAACCCCGTCCATGGCCCCCCCGAAACGAGACAGGTCTTCGTACTGTAGGGGGGGGGGGGTAGAATAAACAAACAACATGAAAATGTTTTTATGAATGAATCACTTTGTTTTACGATTTGACTCATGTTTTTTAAAATGTTGTAAATGATAAAAACAGTTAAAAACAACAACATTTAGAATGGATGTAGATCTCTGTTCATCATGTCCTCACGGTGTCTCATATAATCTCCTTATATTTACATAAAGGGGCGTGTCTCCTTGTTACAGTTATTATTTTATTGTAATAATAATAAGAATATATTTACATAAAGGGGCGTGTCTCTCGTGTCATTAATCAGTTAAAAATCAGCTGTTAATGTTCTTGATTCAAATGAATCTGATGTTTCTGAGTGAGGCCCTCTCTTTGTGTTTTATTATTATTGTTTTTATTTACTTTCACATTAAGGATCACTTTCATCTCAATGATTTAATTATAGATATGACGTCAACATTATTAATCATATTTAACTGTTTTAATAAACTGTGAAGTTCATCTCTGAACATAAAACATCATGTTTTTATTTGAATCATTGAATAATAAATCACAAGCTGCTGCTCAGAGTTTTTCAAACTATATGATGTTTATATATTAAAATACATTATAATAAAATACTGTAATATATATTTTATAATACAAATGTTTATCAAACATACCATCTAGGGATGGGGAGCCAGTGGAGGTCATGAAGGATGGGGGTGATGAACTCATATCAGAGTTTATCAAATAATACAAATAAACATGATACACACATCATACATGTTTTTGAATGAGCTGTTGCTCACTCAGAGTTTAAATATAAAGTAA